TGAAATATAACATATGTGAGTTTTCATTTTGGTATCTCAAAATCGAAACTAGTTATTATGATGTCGATTTTGATATATTAAACTACAAATACTGAAAACCCCGATTCATAGTAAACTTTGAAAGTTTTGACGAAATCAAACAAATGATTTTACGGAACCCTATTAAGAGCGAGTCCAGACTTGCGCTTGGACAGTTTTTCTATATCAATTTCTGTAATCTTGAAGGGCACCTGCTCACCTGAGGTTGTTTACTTTCAATTGGTGAAAATACTTTGCAAACTTTCATACTTTAATGAACTCTGATGTAATATCCTCAAAATCAAAATTTTTATCTACTTGTTTGTTAACTTTTATTGATAATGTTTTTTTGTCTACTTCACTTGTATTCTTATAAATGTATTAAGGGAGAATGTGGACTATGTTTTTTCCATACAAACGTTCTCGACTGATTCCTCCCTGATTTTTTCACTTAAGAATTTATTTTCAAACATTAAATATGATTTTACTCATTTCATGCTCCTATATCTTCCTTATTTCGATAACTTGTGTTTCAAAGAAACTAAAAGCCCTCGAAAAAGGCCAAAACTAAACAAATTTTTATCACCAATAAAGACGACCAGTGTGAAGATTTTATAAGAATTTACAAAAAAGCAAAACATAGAGGCATAGTATATCTACTTATTTTTCTTTGTTTAAATATATTTTACATATATCTAATTTTCGAGGAGGACATCGTCGAGAGCCACACCTCGAATTTTATAATTATTATATGCAATTTTTAGCGTTAACTACTTTTATCCCTATCGCTCGGTATTTGCCAATACGTGACAACAATAGTATTTTCAAACACTTATTTCTCAAATGTCTCTTAGTTCGCGTCCGCTTTTAAAGGTTTTCTTATGTTCTATTAAATCCACCCCTTTTCCAGTTTCCTTTTTATTATTCAGAAATCATAACTGGCTTTATTCTTCTAAGCATTACTAAGGTACTGTTAAAATAGAGTTTTTTTGGTAAAGCATATTGTCCAATTATCTGGTCAACGTTTTGGGTAAGTAAGTATATGTAATTTATATATGCAATGATTTTGGGCTCTGAGTAATTTATCTATGTAATGGTTTGCATAATTATATATGGATTTCATCTATATCTTCAGAATTTCAGCAGTTATCGACGTTGTTCCAATATATTTAATTCTATCACATCGCGTTTAATAATGTTTGTAAGGATTACGTGTTTTTGTATTGGCTCATGGTTTTATTCGAAGGTAAATAGTTATTACTCATTGTCTTGTGACCATGGCAGCTGTAAAACATTCTACACGACGAACAAGACGTGTTTCATCAACAAATCACATTTCAAATATAGGCACTAATTCAATGCTCATCTCATTACGATATCGCCTCAGTCATAGATGGCCAATAGAAAACTTTACATAGAAGCTGTCCGGTACTAATCCGTAAATCCTTTAGAGATATATAAGTAATTTTTGTTTTCAGGTAAAGAACCCTTTTACTGCTATCGGGGGTCAAACTTTACCCCAGCATAAAAGACTTTATCATAACTTTATAGTTTTACAACTTAAACTAATGCGCACCTAAGTACTAATCTTAATGTTACGTAGCAGGTGACAGAAGTGCGTCACTCTAATATACTTAAAAGCGGAAGAACACTCAAAGCAGCAGTCACATTACATCGTCGGTCCATTCTGTTTGATTACAAATCCGTACAGTACAATTATATTGTAATAATGTCATGGAAAAAAATATGGGGGAGAATAAAATATTTCGGGCAGGTAGGTAATATGGTATTCACAGTAAAGTGGTCTCATTTGCACGGTAAAACTCATTGTTTACGAAACTCGAAAAAATCAGTGGTACGTGTCGACTGTGTAGCGAGTTGTTTGCATCCGGAGCGTAGTGCACCGACCAGCGACCAGCATGAATGGAGCGCGGTTGAGTGCGCGCGAGTTAACGGCTAACGGTCGATGCGTCGGCGCATACCTGCTCGCTGCTCCACTCGTAGTGCCACAGATCAATGCGGAGCATAGACTTCTCTCTGGTCTTTATTTTAAGTCAATATGAGTACTTTAGTTGTGGTAAAGGACAGTTCTTATTAGACCTCGCCGGATCCAGAAATTTATGATAGCGCATAGGGAGGCAATTAACATCACCCTTGTTAAAATTTTTGTTTTAATGTTCGTCATCATGAATTTGAACCATTTTTGTGTAATAAGTAGGTATGTAGTCAAAATTCGGGACTTAAGAGTGGTAGGGATTTGCTGTTTGAAAATTTGAACGCCCGTATTGGGAAGTGAGTCATCTCCATCTTACAGAAGACTATAGTCTTCTGTAAGAAGACTCCACCAAAATGTAATGTTACTTTTATATATAAAAGTAACATTACATTTTGGTGGAGTCGCGTTACTGTTCACTGTCCACGATTGGTTTCAGGCCGGCGACCTGGAGCTGAACAATGCATCGGGTTACGGCCTGTTCCCCCCAAAACTTATGTACGTTATTATCGCATGTTATCTGGTGAAATCGAGGTGGTATAGTCAAAGAATAAAGTACTAAACCAAAATAATCCTTATATTTATATCACATCAGCTATCTCGCGACTCGACTCCACTAACTAGCATAGCATACACTTGTCATCAGGTGGAGAGGGGTAATTTGCCGCGCCTTGTATAAGAAACCTGAGCATTGTAGTATTCACTACATCTTAAAGTTTTGGATCCGTATCTTGTAAGAGACTAATAAGTACGTCGTGACCGGAGCAGACCCGGCAGTATCTATTAAGAATAATCCTTAATTTGGTAATAGTTATCTTTTGGCGACTTTTGTGAACAGGAGATCTTTAGCATGGTTTTCATTTAGGTATAATTCTTAAAAAATTACCTTTGGGGTAAGTGATTTTTTTGGTTCTATACTTACGCTGTATTAGATTTTGATCAGTAGTGGCAGCAATTGATTATGCATATATCTTACAAATTAATAGACTGATCGTTCACAGTTCGTTAAATATATTTATGTTAAATTCAAAACATTTTATGAAGTCAAACAAAGCCTGCAATCACTTAGTATCCAACCTGTCGATTATATATTAAACTGGCGACTACCCTATGACCGAGCTCTATCTAGAGCAAACCATCTTGAAATTGCATTACACAAATGTTAACATTCTCAGAAATGTTTCAAGGTAAATAAACCGTGACATCTACCAATTTTCCAATAGCATTTGAAGGAAACATTGTTAGAGAAACCTGAACTTGTCTTTAACAAACTTAAGAAACTTTGTATAATTTAAGTCTAATTCAGGTTCACTTCTAATAAGAAATTATATTATTCTAGTTTGATGAAATAAATCATTACAATTTCTGTATGCACTTAATCTTGAGACAAGAAAAGGGACCTATTTTACATTTATCTGGTTTCTACTCGGTCTGGCATTTTATAACTATAACTGCTCATTTTTAAAGCTCATACAATGCACTGGGATTGGCATCTTTAGTGTACTCGTAGGCAAAGATAAGTCAATCGTCATTAATGCAGAATATAATTTTACTGTTACGTATAAATCGAATCATTAAAGATTTTAGTTAATTGAATATAATTTAAATTGGAAATACAATACATACGGAGATCGAAATAAATATTGTAAAGTGGGGAATATAATTTAATAATAAATTATGATGTTCGAAGAATCTTTTGCCTTATAATCATCTTCTTTTATTGTTCCTTCCATTACTATGTTAATATTATGAATTTATTTTTCCGAAAACAGTAGCAGATTGGAAAGCAATAATATTTTGAAAGTAAATAGTGTAGTAATAGACATAAATTTATTGATAAACTCTTATAATAGGTATGAAGAATATGCATAAAGAATTGAACTTATATCCAATACAGTCTCGGTAGCAAAATTGGTAGTGTATTCATCCGGATAGTGAAGAAGGCTGGTTTGAATTCTTAAGAAAAAAGATCTAAAAGTTGCAATACATTCATTAAGTAATTTACTTAATTCTTACTTTAAATAACGTTCCTCATTTAAAAATTATAAATATTGTTTTTTTTTATCTTAAGTTAATCGCTTCTCACAATTGCAAATTTTAAAGCAATACGTTGCACTTTGATTTGCATACTCATTTTACTAACTAAGCTTAAAGACTGAAGTGAGTATCTTGTACCTGTTTGAATTGCTAATAAGATGTCTCACTATGGTTAATCTGACCATAGTGAGACTATGGTACTCACGCATATTTGACTACGAAATAGTAACAGAATATTCTAATCACCTAGAATTTCTAAAAATCAAATAAAGTTTAAATCATGTACTTTTTCATATTTTATGTAATGAACCTTCAACTACTTCATTATCTAAGAGTACATTATGCTCCTACACTATAGCACTACAGCTAAAGTCTACAGTTTGAGCCGCACTTGTTAAATTGCCCATTAATATCATTAATACTTCATGTTTTCATCCACAAACACGCGTCGTAGTATCCATAAAATCATTATAAAAATTAGTAAGCACTTCTCCAAATTGCGAAAATGGTGAAAATTGACCTAATAACCAAATTTCAACATATCGATTTCAGAAGCAGTGCCAAATTTAACCCAACATGTCCCGTAAAGTGAGATTAAAGGAATCTTACAAATGGATTTCCATCAAAAGGCGGTAATACCATCCGACTTTGACTGCTACTGCAATTTGACAGTGACGAATCTTAACTATAAATCTTTCGGGATTCTTACTACATTACAAATCCCTGATCTACCAAGGCCCACATCAGGATAAAAGGACGAAAAAAGAGAAAACGATATGTCACCTCTCTATCCTTCATTAGTCTATGCGCGAGGATACGCGAGGGGGCGGTGAGGGAAGGGAAACCACTGAGGGACGCGACTACGCGAGGCCGAGTCAGTCGTACGCGTGCTTTCGCGAGTAGATTACGTGCGCAGTGACGAAAAATTCGATCGGCGTCACATGTAAGCGCAATGGATGTCCTGCCGAGCGGTAACCTATTCCGCGAGTTGCAGGACGTGACCGACACTGGATATTTCGAGTGGAAGCTGTCCTTGGAGGACTACTGGCAACAGGTAAGTGACTCATGCTGAGCGATGACGACCCTACTCCGGTATGCAAGCGAACGAGCTGAGCGCATAAGTATTGTTTAACAATTTCATGTCTCACTGTCGGGTGGCGACGCGCTTGCGTGAGCCCCCGCGGTCGATTTTCAATCTTAACTTAAACTGTCGACGTTCTTGGGGTACGTTGAATTCGACTCGTTTTCAAATTCAACGGTTGAGTTGATGCCCGCTGTGCGTAATGTGTACAAGCCCCGCGTCCAGTTTACATTCTCGATTCGGATTTGCTTACGCCACTACTAAAAATATCCTAGTAATGTTAAGAGGTTCCAAGTTTATTGCTATCGTAACTGTTTCTGTGTGGAGGACACCGTCAGTGAATCCATACGTCATTTTCCCTTTTATTTTGACGCAATTGGGTAGTAACAACTACTTTGAAAACTTTTCAAAACTTTTAAAAAGTTTGTAAACTTTAACATTCCTCTATTGATAAACCGGCAAACGTTTCTTTGACACCAGTACTTATATTTTGTTACGATTTTATTTTTATAAATCTGTTTAAAGCATTAAGTTATCAACCAGTAACTTTTCAATCTATTGTAGTTGTTAATTTCGTAGAAAGTACTGATAAAATGACTTAAGTAAAATTCCATGAATGATTTTAAATGCGTACGCCTAATGATTTCATTTCTAAGTAGCTGTGGCAGTTTCATGTCAGTTTAAAAATATATATTTGTTATTATGTAGGTACGTGTTTTTTCCTACTTATTGATTTATCACGTATGTAATGCATTATCGAGAGATAACAAACAACCTAGGTACTCTTATCCGACGAAACTTCATAAATAATATTTATTTTTATCAAGCAAACAGTGTTGTCATTATGTAGCCAAGCCGGCATTATTATTATACGAATAATAACAGTTAATTTAAACTCTATAAGTATTGAGGCATTTCAAATTAAAGGCGAATATCACATTTAAAGCGAAATACTTAAGTCTGGAAGAAAATCTTCTGAAATGTAGAAAAGTAAATATGTATTCTTGTGTTTAAAATCTAATACGAAAGCAGGCAACTGGGTGACTCGATCCGTTTTATAATTAACCTTCAAACATAGGTATATCCGTTCTAATATCATCCTATGATTCATGTTATCACAAATAATACAGACAAAAAATTTACCTGTGCATACAAAATGAATCTCTTATTTGTTTCTTAGGTTTTCACGCACATCACTCATTAAATAGTTTTAACGGGTTAATGCACGAATTTTATTTATTTATTGACGTTTCGCAGCCTCTTTAGGTCTGCATCGTCAGAATAATGATTTTTTATTTGAATTAATAAAATATCATTATTCCGACGATGAATCTCTTATTGAATCTAATGCTCAATGTTACAACTGTAAAATTTTAATTGGTAAACAGGTGATGTCCTTGACAGACACTGTAATTCAAAAGCAGTTATCTCAGCACCTCGTATGTTTATAAACATTTAACTATCTTTAAAACTTGGATTTAATTTGAATCCGAAAAAACTTTATGTTTATCAGTAATATCTTGAAATAATAATACACAATGATTAATAAAAAAGAGCATCGTTATAAACGTTAATTTTATTAGTCATCAGAAGATTATATTATTAGATCAATATTGACCGGCAAGGTGATCGGTGTCTGGTGTCATCACTTGTTTTGGTAGCGGAGTGCCCGTCAATCATGAACATTATTCGTCTTTTTAACAAAGGTTTTTAACGCCGTCTCTATGAAAATTCCATCTAACATAGGACTCTAAGTTGTCAAAGTTTCATAGTGTGCGGTACCCCGAACTGAACTCTCTTTGGTGTCGCGACTTTTAAGAAATTGTGATCGTATAAAATAGTATCAACTTAAGTGCAAATCTTTCAAAGTATATTGACCAATAAGATAATCTTCTGATGACTAATAAAATTAACGTTTACAACGATTCTTTTTTATTTATTAATCATTGTGTATTAACTAACGTTTACAACGATTCTTTTTTTTTATTTATCATTGTGTATTATCGCAAAAATTGACTGATAGCCATAAAGTTTATTTTTGGATTTTAAATCAATTAAAACAACCTAAGTACTAAATTCAAAGGAAAGGGGTAACGTAGATGTCCTTTGGATTTCCAAATTATCGCCCTAAACTCCTCTAAAGGCAAATACAAACTTCTTTTAAATAATATCAATATTTGAGGAATGCCCGTTCAAAACCAGCTATTTACATCAGAATGAATTTTACAGAAAATGCCAAAAAAGAATAATTAAAAACACCTAATATATAGAATAATTTTGTGTGGTACGCTTTACAGGATATAGTTGTCTAAGCGTCTTTATGATTTTTTTTAATAGATACTTTGTTTATTATTCTTTTTAAAAAAATAAGAAGTTTGTTATTAGGCACTTTTGATGCAGATGGCAGTAAATAGACACTTTAGTTTTGGCTCATTAGGTAAATAGAGTGGTTTGATAAAAAAAATATTTGTAAATATCTATTTTTGACGAGAAATGAGATTTTCCGTTATAGTAATAATAACCTGCCACGCAGTTCTTGAACTTTTTTGTTCAACATCTCAATCAATTCAACGAAAGAATAAAATAAATAGACCATTATTATTAGAAACTCTATAATCATAAAATAAAATATATTTAAATAATGTAAATAGCAAGTTTTGAGCAAAATTCATATTTTTGATTTGTATTTGAACCTATAAATAACATTTTTGATTAAATTTATTCACGAAAATATCTATTTTTGACGAGAAATGAGATTTTCCGCTATAGTAAAAATAACCTGCCACGCAGTTCTTGAACTTTTTTGTTCAACATCTCAATCACTTCAACGAAAGAATAAAATAAATAGACCATTATGATTAGAAACTCTATAATATAGTACTAAATTCAAAGGAAACGGGTAACGTAGATGTCCTTTGGATTTCCAAATTATCGCCCTAAACTCCTCTAAAGGCAAATACAAACTTCTTTTAAATAATATCAATATTTGAGGAATGCCCGTTCAAAACCAGCTATTTACATCAGAATGAATTTTACAGAAAATGCCAAAAAAGAATAATTAAAAACGCCTAATATATAGAATAATTTTGTGTGGTACGCTTTACAGGATATAGTTGTCTAAGCGTCTTTATGATTTTTTTTAATAGATACTTTGTTTATTATTCTTTTTAAAAAAATAAGAAGTTTGTAATTAGGCACTTTTGATGCAGATGGCAGTAAATAGACACTTTAGTTTTGGCTCATTAGGTAAATAGAGTGGTTTGATAAAAAAAATATTTGTAAATATCTATTTTTGACGAGAAATGAGATTTTCCGTTATAGTAATAATAACCTGCCACGCAGTTCTTGAACTTTTTTGTTCAACATCTCAATCAATTCAACGAAAGAATAAAATAAATAGACCATTATGATTAGAAACTCTATAATCATAAAATAAAATATATTTAAATTATGTAAATAGCAAGTTTTGAGCAAAATTCATATTTTTGATTTGTATTTGAACCTATAAATAACATTTTTGATTAAATTTATTCACGAAAATATCTATTTTTGACGAGAAATGAGATTTTCCGTTATAGTAAAAATAACCTGCCACGCAGTTCTTGAACTTTTTTGTTCAACATCTCAATCACTTCAACGAAAGAATAATATAAATAGACCATTATGATTAGAAACTCTATAATCGTAAAATAAAATATATTTAAATTATGTAAATAGCAAGTTTTGAGCAAAATTCATATTTTTTAATTTGTATTTGAACCTATAAATAACATTTTTGATTAAATTTATTCACGAAATTCAAAGAAATCATGTCACTTAGTCAGAATCCAAAACATAAACAATACGAGCTCAAAATGTAAAAAGCTAGTTTTGAACGGACACTCCTCATTTTATTAAAAGTGTAACTTCTATTACATATCGCCACAAATTTTTTCGTCCATATTTAGCATGCGCATTACACTTTAAATTGTTATTAAAAATTCGGTCCTTCTTAACAAGTATTGTCGGTTCAGTGGTAAAAAGCAGGCCTGCTTTTTTTATTTAATTTTATAAGTTTCACTTTTTTATTTTTTTATATCGTAAGTAACAATTACATAGCTAAAAAGCACGCTATAAATCGAAAGGATTTGTCCGGTGTGCTAAGTTCAACTTGCATCGTGTTTCGTAAAACCGTACCAAGATTTATTTTAAATTAAGACGTAATCCCAAAAACCTGGTGTTATTATAACAGACACAGCGAGCTAGACCTTAGACGATAGAGTCATAATCTACTCTCAAGGTGTTTGATCCTTATCAGACAGTTCGTAGAGAATCAATAATCGCAATAAAGTGTATATTTAAAAACAATGGTGGTTAAATTAATAAATTCGGACAAAGTTATTCAACTAATTAACTGCATGCATACATACACACGTCTAACGTACTATGTGATAAGTTATGAAAGGTGAATAAACATTGTGAACGCAGAACTTTGTAAGCTAGCTTTTATACCCTTGACTTTGACTTGAACTGAAGGAAATAAATTTATGAAGAAATTGCGGTTGATGTTGCTTCTATGTAATTTGCTATTTTTCACCATTCATCGGAAAAGCTAGGTACTTGCGGTATTCTTGAAATTGATTCCTCTCATTTCAATACCTTTTGATAAGTGCAATGATTTTGCAAGTATGTATTATAAATTTACATTTCTATTCTAAATGGATTCCTTTTGCATTTTTCAATAAAATATTGTAATTTTCCTAGAGACATTTCATCTCAATGGAGATAATCGTAACAAAAACGTACACTTTGTATGTATTATCATATAAACTGATTTCAGACCCACTTGCCAGATAATTCCCTTAAAAATGACAAAACAGACAAGCTTTCTTATTTAAAGAATGCGTTATTGCAATTGCACTTAGGATCTTCTAATAGCAAGGAAAGTGTATTAATATGGATCAAATATCTGTGAAATTTGAACTTTGTTTTCAATGCAGTACTTAGATTATCTTATAGTAAAGATAAAATTGGAATAGAAGTTTGAAATTCAAACTCACTTTTAAATCGTAAATCCAACAGAAACTCCTTCAATTTCTTGATATTAATCAAACCTTTGGTAAATTAATAAGAAAATCCTTAGTCCAAAACTCTAAATAATATACAGCAAATAATTAATAAAAGTCATAGGAGGAGGAAAAATCAGTTATGGCGGATATGATTGTTCAGGAAATATCAAGTTTGTTCCGATAGATACACACATTTAAGCGGAAGTCTACCTTATTCTTTGTAAGAAAATAAGCTTATGAGTGCGTAAAGCATCAAATTGGCTGATACTTATGAATGACTAAATAATATTAATGAACGCTCAGACCTTACAGACAGCCGATTTACTATAACATTGTCTACGTTAGTTAGTACGTGAGCAAATTCATGGTATTAGTAAGTAGGCAGTTATCAGTGCCCACCAGGCATTCCACCGAGATAAACCATGTCTCGTTGCCAACGATTAAACTTAATTTAGAACAATTAGAGTGTTTGCGCTCATGACGAAGGACGTTTAATTTCGGGTTAGCTCTTTAAAACTTCCATATGAACAGCCGATGCCAATGCGCCAACAAAAAATTCTTATCCGACACGGTGAAACTCAATTAGTTAAGTTATAACTTGTTTAAAAGAAAGAACAGTTGTGTACATGCTGTTTTGTGTTCGTAAATCGGAGTCTGAGAAACCGATTAAGGATATAAATATAATATTATGAAGACTGCAACTATAGATTAAAAAAAACTAAATAATAATGTTGATAACAGCTTATTAACTACTTGAATTGTATCATTTCTATCAGCAGAATAAACTCACTTTTCACTGGACTGTAAATTTCTTTACTCATATTGTGTTATTACCGCAGAATCCGCGTGTGAGTTGAAATTAGAGTATGAATTTGTATGATATGATGATATGATTTGAAACTCATATTCTACTTTCAAATTATACTTCTAATTCCGCGGTTAAAAGTATGTTTGATTTTACATATTAGCACTGCAGTTATTGCATTTTAGAAGTGGGAATTCACTTGAATTATACTGGTCATGGTGAATAAAGCTCTAAAGATTTTCGGATTGCGATATATTATGTCTTGAAAATATGTAAGGCTTTATTTGGGATAAAAACAAACTATTTAAATAGCCCATCGCTAAGTTCAAAAGGTACAACGGATTCCGTGCTTCTCGATTTGTCATCGTAATGTCATTTACGATTTTTTTAAGTAAAACTTATTACATCGCTTTACCTTTTTTCCTTCGTCTTTAGCATGTACCATTACATTTTTAATCGTTTTTAAAAAAATAAGACCATGTTAACAAGCATTTGTGGCTTAGTGGTAGAGAGCTCGCCTGCTGCGCGGGCGGCCCGGATTCTATTCCCAGCTGGGGAAGGACATTTTTTTCATTACCTTTCCAATTTTTGTAATTGTAATTTTTGTCTAATTACTATGGAGTTTGACAGTTAGACGCAATAAAAATGTGATATAATGAAAATTGTAGTGCTCATGGTACGGGGGCTTGTTTACCTATCCACGATGTAATTTTAAATAATCGGACAAGTAATTACATTGCGAAATTTGCCTTCACCGTTATTTAGATAGACTCGTTAGAGTTAACAAGACGGCCACAGTTCATTGGAGCCAGACTACCTGGTTATCACGGAGTGTGAACTTTGAGGACAAGCTGCCACACGATAAACCTAATTGATAATAACATTCGAGCAAACACGAATAAATTATTAAGAAAATACTCGGTCAATCGAAAGTGTTCACTTTGATACCGTTACATTTCGAAAACGATATTTTTGAAGAGCACGATTGGCGCAGGTGGTTAGCGCGTTCGGCCTGCGATTGTGATAGTTAAGCAACTTGCGCAATGGTCGGTCATTGGATGGGTGACTAAAAACTTATGATTTCGAGCTCCTCCGTGCTTCGGAAGGCACGTTAAGCCGTTGGTCCCGAATGCATCTGCAGTGGTTAGCACCCACCACCAATCCGCACAGGGCCCGCGCGGTGGGTCACGGTTAAATCTCCCTACAGCATCCATAGGGAAGACCTTTGCACCAGCAGTGGGACATTTAATAGGCTGATGATAATTCTTAAAGAGCATATGGTTCAAGATCTTAGACTGTTTCGAATATTTTTCTAATCAGCTGATTGTAAGATTACGAGATACTCGTATTGAGTTAGTAATTTGATAAGAACGGTGAATATTTTTTCTTCTTCAGAATTGCATAGACCTGATAAGATAAGACGGTATCGCGATACGCGCTATTTGGTGCGATTTTGTGT